TTGCCAATGATGGAGCTTCGAAAGCAGAAAAATTAAACATCTGGCCACAATGAACTAATACCCCCATAATTGGTTGTCATTGGGAAGCTTTTTGAAGTTGCATTAATCAGACATAGTGGTTTGAAGGACTGATTGTGTTAAGTATGTAAGCTGTCAAATATGCTTCTATTGGATGTACGTTTTATTCTTTGTTATATTGTATTATGTTATTGTGCAGGTTGCCCATAAATTACATAATGCTAAAGAGGGGGAGGGGGGTTTGAGGCAGCATTACGCTGGGTTACATAGGGGTAGAGGGTATTCGCTTAGTGTTACATGACACTGATTCCCCCCCCCAACATTTGTTGAAATACTTCCTTTTTTTAAGTCTTATACTAAAACATTAAAATATTAACTAATTCATTTGTTTTAAATTTTATTTGAAGAAAAAATCTCCTTCTTCAATTTTGTAGTTGTAGGCAGACACTTGAAAAATTTTGAAATTTTGAAAATTCAAAGTTAAAATTGAAAGTTGGACCTATGCCATAATTAAAAGTGTATTTTACTCTATTCTTACAAGAAATTGTAAGAAAAAATTTGGAGCCGTTTTGTAGCAAATTTTGAAAATGCCCATTGGACATCATGTAAAGTACTCCCAATTTTAAAGAATTTTTTTTTGAAATCTCAAAGCTTCGACTCAAGCCAGACAGACCAGGGTGTTTTCAATTTGGAAAAAATCCTACCTATGGTTTTGGCACTAGTTGTGTTCACAGACAGAAAGACAGACTTTTGGGGGAGAAAAAAAGAAAACAAAACAACACTTTTTTGGTATCAGGGGAGTCCAAAACATGTATTTCCATTGGAATCTTGAAATGGATTTTCCACAGCATTACATAACTTTTCCTCTAATACCTATAATTCTTTGTATATATGTATGTATACGGGAAAATAGAAAGGGAATGAATTTCAATAAAAGACAGAAGTTTTAAATAAACCTTGATGTAGTTTTAATAATGGAATCAGAAGTCATACAAATTACAGTAAATGAATTTTATAAAACAGCATTGAAACGTAACATAAAAAGTTCCACAAACAAGACAAAATCGATGGCATATCAAGGAAAAGAAATTGGAAGAGTCAGAATTGTCATGAATGGGTAAATAATATAATATAGTAATGGGTTATTGACATGAGTGGGTCAATTATCCAAATTTAATTATTTGGTAATATCATTGGACCCAGAAAACAAAATCCAAAAATACAACAGAACAAATAGACCAATTAAAAGATATTTCAGAAGAGATAAGACTAAAGAGATTAAATTAAGAATATATAATATATTTTAAAACCAACACTAATGTATCAGGGGCGTATCCAGAGACAAACGTTGGATGGAGAAAATCAAAATGTTTTGTTCAAATGTGTCATATTACATATTACATATCTGATAAAATGTAGCAGGTTATGCTTAGAACATGCTGCAATACAATATCATTCATTTTAATAATTAACCGAAAATATTTTTACTTTTCACTTACTTTTTACTTTTACTAAAAAAAGTTTTGTGACTAGTTAAAATTAATAGTTACTGAAAAATTGTAGGAGAAAATTTCCCTCCCCATGGAACTGGGCCTGAGTGTATGGATCAGAGAAATACTAATGTTTGGTTAAAAGTAGGGAACAGCTAAGACAGAATACCATGCAGGTAAGATTTCTATGCCATCATTCAGAAGTCACATTAGGGATTGCCAAAGGAGAAAAGATATTAGAAAAAGGCTCACAATACTGAATGTAGTGGCAGAAATAAAGGAAGGTAGAAAATGGTTTTCTCCAATCAACAGAATGAAGCAAGAAAAAATTCCTTGACACCATTTAAGTATTTATCATTCGGGTGAGGAGACATTTGGAGACCACAAAAGAAATGGTTACATCTAAAACACTTATATGATATAATGATACAATATCCTGTGACGAGTCGCATGGTCAGATTACTTCCCACAGTAACATCTAGAATCCTCTTCAGACAACGGTTTAATTTTTGTTTAAGGTAAAAACAGATACTTATATTAAATGTCTCTTTGAAATAAAGCGTTCTTTTCGATTGTGCGGGTGCTCATAAAGTTCGCTAATTCCTTCTTCTTCTTCAACTTGTTGACGACCGGCGAAGCGCTAAAACAGAATGGTCGACGACCGCGTGCGCGATGATGACTTTGCTCACAGAATTTAATTTTGAACCCTCCATTTGCTTGTGAGTTCAGTTTGGCGGTAGCGGCGTAGGTGGCTGACGGCATCACTTGATGTCACTGCAGTGCCTCTGACCTGGAGGTTCTAGGGTTCGAGTCCGTGGCAGGATTTTCGGCACTTGCTGCCTAGCTTTGTTGATTTCAGCCGCTGTCTGGAGAAGAATTCTAGTGGTAGGCTGCTCTGATCTGTATACTTTTTCTGTGGTTTCTCCAATCAACACCAGGCGAATGTCAGAGCAGTTAATAGGTTTACCCTAACAATGGGCAGTACAAACAGGCCACGGACCGTACGCAACATTTTCTTCCTCTTCCTTGTTCAATCCTCACACCTTACTTATCCACACTTACACATACATGCACTACTCTACTAGTCATGTCGGGAGACCAGTCAAGAGCTTAGAGCTTGAGCGGGCTAGAGCGGTGCTTCGCTGGTGGGAGATACCTGATTGGGGAAAATCCCACAAGCCGACACGCAGGTTGCCGGAACTCGCTATCCAGTGCCGGTCAGCTCTCTGCCAAACACTATGCCATGTGGTTCTAGAAAACGAGAAAAAGTTTCGGCTAGAAAACGCGTTGACGTTTTTGAGTGCGATAGAATACAGATTTAATACAATTATAAAAACAAAGGGCACACAAGATTTGAAACATACGCAACTAAAAAGACGTAAACTGATGTAAACAAACTACATTTTTCGTAAAAAGTCAGTAAAATGTATGCGACGTGTATTAACGTACTTAGTATGAATCTTATGGAAATATTTCGTTGAGGCCAAAGTTCAAGTTAGACTGCAGGGCCATTGATTGATTGATGTAATATCTTATGATTCTAGTATAGATTTTTCAATTCATTTTAATTATTCTTTTTTATTTTGTGAAAGGCAATTAACATGAAAAGGCTGCTATCTTATGTGGGTTCGTAGGTTTCCGCGGCCGGAGTCAATTCATTCTTGGCTACCCGTGATGAGCCGCGTCTCGGTCAATTGTACTGACGTTTCGGCCATCTTGCTGTGGCCTTCAGAGATATGAAGATAGTTCAGAAGCTAGATTATTCAGAGCTATGAAGAAAGCTCTGAAGAAGGCCACAGCAAAATGGCCGAAACGTCAGTACAATTGACCGAGACGCGGCTCATCACGGATAGCCAAGAATGCACGCTATCTTATGGCTCTTTCACCACCAGCTATTATGAGTATTAAACCCGTATGAAGGGTTGCTCCTTGTGCCCGACTTTTCCCTTGTTTAAGTCTTTGCTTTTGTTACTCCAAGTAATGGGCTGTCCTTATCCATCCCTGGGAAGAAGGGTTTCTTCAAAGTCATCCTCGTGATGTCTTCGTTCACTTCCTTAACATTATTTTGTCAAAAATATTTTTAGTTTACAGCAATTTGCACGATAACACCTTAACTACCTCTCCCATATTCTCATAACCTCAATTATGCGACCACATCTATCAAGGCCATTTTACCATGAACTGTTAGTGACTGCTTAAAACAGGTTTCACTGTACGTGGATCGGGTCCAGTGACACTATAACCGAAAGTTCACTGTTTTCAGGGTCGACTGTGTGTGTGTTAATGATGTATTACATTAATGTTTATAAAAATGGAAATATGTTTTTATCGATGGTATATTAATTGAATCTGTTAGATTACGAAGAAAATATTCAAAACCGATTAGTAGTGTACTTGAATATCCAAGTGAGTAACGTTTAGTCCTCTTGAAAACTGACTACGACGAGACGTGACATGACATTCTATTAATGGAGGATTACTCTTAATAAGCGCACTAAATGAATGGATGATTACTCCAAGCGCAAAGCGCTCAACGCCCCTCAAAGGGCTTGGATACGTCTTGCGTCTATGTTGACGTAACCAATTTAAAAAAAATAATAACCGAGTTTAATTGCACACAAACCGTATTTAACAAAACAGAAGTCATTTACTCCACCGACATTTTGTAACGCATCATACGCGCCATCCACCGCCGCGCTTTTGTCGACAGAGGACTTCATAACCAGGTCTCGAAAATTTATTTAATTATTTTCGTGTTCAAATAAATATTTCGACAATATTTTATAATATTATTATCACTTTTGCAAGATAAAAAAGATTGTTGGATCCTTTCCGTTTGAGAGATTTTTAGACAATGCTAGCAAACGGCAAAATAGTGCATCATTATGACCGCTCAACGTGAGAAGAAACTGCGTATGTATAATCCATAAGCCGTAAACAATTCATGGTAGCGTTTTTCGTAGTGAAAATGGGGACTGCGCTACAATGCTTCCTCCCCTCTCGTCTTTATTGTCTCAGTGTTTAATGAAACGAAATTCAGTAATAATTTTACCAGCTGAGAAAGAGAAGTTATCAGCTGTCGAAAATAACTTACAAATTTTTGACATGAACGAAGGGATGTATGTTTTTAAATTATGCGTCAAGTATTGAATTTCTTTAATTATTGTAAATTTTAGTATATAATTAAATGAACATAATTTTTTTTCATTATATCATTTAGTTAAAAAAAGTAAATGAGAAGTTATTGATGCCAGCGTTATGTAGGCCTAATTATTTAAGCGGTTAAAGTTCGCGTTACCTTTGCGTTATAGGGAGAGAAAGTTATCCAAAATACTCCAAATTTGCATAATTTATAGACGGACCCTTAAGTATGACATTTATTGAAGTAATTTTCTTCAAGTTTGAATAGTTCGAGACGTATTATAAAACAAACCTCGTTCAAAATAAGCGCCTTGTCGATTCTGAGATATTTGATTGGCTTTCTCTACTTACAAAACATTTCGAAGGTTGCTTCTGCAAGGCGACCGCATCGTCGACCAGGCGACTCGTTTTCGTTTCGTCGAGTTGCATTGCAAGAACATGGCGGCACGTGAAGCTGCTGGTCGTGTGGTGCGACAAGTTCGGCCAATTTTGTCTCTGGATGCTGGTGAAGCAAGAAAAAGAGTTCTTAATCTGTATAAAGCATGGTACCGCCAAATACCATATGTCGGTACGACAACTTCATCTGCCAAGTTTTGATTGTGTGAATATTTGTTAGGTATATTTAGAGCAATAGACTATAATTGCATTGAAAATAAATTGTAAATCTTGAAATAGAAGTGTAGCCAGCTTTGGAATCAATACAAGCGAAATAAAAAAACGTCAAGTATTATTATTTATATAATTTAGAGCAGATTAATCAATTTTAAATGGTTAATTAATCCTATTTATTTTTTGTTTTCATTTTCACCCAAACTAGATATTACTAAACTGATTACTTAAGTTTTAATTTGTCCTTTCAGGTGGAACTAAAGTTTTTGTTTCCACATATTTCAAGTTTCAAACATCCATCTGGGATGTCATGTCCTTCCTCTGTCCTCTTCCTTCCTCCTTGTATTTCTGCCCTTAGGATTTCGTTGATTTTTCTTCTAGTATCTTTTTGCTATATTTTTGGATTTTATCATCCAGAGTTTTTCCTAGTTTTCCTAATTATATACCTTCATGAAGTGCATTGTCTTTTCCTTTTGATGTTGATAAAATAGATGCCCTTTAACTTGAATGAAAAATTAACTTAATAGAAGAAATGTTGAGAAAATAATAGTTGTTACTCTTTTTGTCTTCAGGTTTTGATGAGCAACATAGTGTTTGAATGTTTAGTAATTTCAACTTACTTTTGCAGTTCTGGACTATGACATCCCAAAAACTATAGAGGAATGCAGAGCCAAACTTCGTGAAGAATTTGACAAAAATCGGCATGTCAAGGATATAAGAGTTATTGACATGTTAGTTATTAAGGTAAATATTTAATTTTATGTTATGTTCTCTACATATGTGCATTTATTAATATATATATTATCTTGTTTGCAGGGGCAAATGGAGCTTAAGGAGACAGTCCAGATATGGAAACAGAAAGGACATGTAATGACATATTTCAAAGAAACTCAAGAACCTAAACCAACTGATTTTCTTTCAAAATTTTTTGCCGGTCATGATTAAAAGACTTGGAGTGCTTGTGTAGGAAATGTAAATTAAAGCTGTAGTATAACTGTGAATAAAGTATGTTTTTATTGGATATAATGAATTAACTTGCCAGTTTTTCAAATATTATTTTCTCTTTCCATTGTTAATTCACTTCAACAAACAAGTATTTTTAAAAATTTCAAATTTGATGTAGGGTGGACACATCTGATTTTCAGTGGTCAAGATCTGTCACAGAAGACCTGATGTTTTGTGAAAGTGAAATGACATACAATTGTATTATTGATCTTATAGGCCACAAAGTGATTAAATAATATTTTATTTCCTGAAAATAGGTAATCAAATTATTTAATGATTAAATTACAAGTACAACTAAACATTCTGTAATTAGCGAAATAAAAAAGACATTAATTATTAACAATATGTTTAATGTGAGAATTGTAAAACTGAAGTCTCCTAACAAACAATAAGTCTAATTGTTATACGTATCTTTAAAAAATTATTGTGTGAAGGGTTTCTCTGAGATTACTATTTTAAGATTGACTATTTAAATTGTACTTATTAATATGAATATTGGCATCAATTTTACAAATTGATAATGACGTTTAACATAGGGTATTGTAAGCATTTATTTGATTTTTGTTTGTTGTTTTAGAGCATGCATCTTTAAACAAAATCTTAAGTTTCTTTGCCACACACAAAAAGGATGATGGTAAAAGTAAAGTAATTTCTGGTATTGTTTAGTTTCTGATAACCTTATTTCTTTTATCCATGTATTCTCCTATTTAATAATCACAGATATGTGTTAACAACATGAGCATCTATCTTTTTTTCCTATAAATACTGTTAATATTTGCATCATTTTAACGAATTGATACGCTTAAGCTCTGAATTAATTGTTGCACACATGTACACATTTATTGTCGTTTGCCCGTATGTTCTGGGCCATTGTAGGAGCCAACAGGAAAATTTAAGTTCCTCTGTTACTGTAAAATGTATTAAAAAAGTAATCTGTGTTTACTATATTTGCTTTAAAAATTTTTGATATCATGGTCCTCAAAGTTTATTAGTATCATTAAAACTAAACATCCGAGTGCATGCTAGTAAAGGCTAGTAGTAATAACAATGGAAAAGTGCAAAAATATGCATTAATTAAAGGAAAGGTTAAAAACTTGAAAATTATTTGAATAATATTATGGGCCTAAAGTAATTTTGGTAGAAGACTTAAAGAAGCTATAATTGTACTCTGAAAAAATATATCCATATTATTTCAATTTTTAATAAAATTCAAGAACAAAACATTCATCTGAATAACGGCCTAGAGTTCATTCATTTATTTGTGATTGAAATATGCCTTTCTCCATTGGTGTGCACAGCCTAAAATGAGATGGGGCCAACTACATTTCTGGACCCTCTTGTCCATGTAAGTTCTTTATTTATACAAGACATATTTTACTAGGAAGTAAATCAAAGCAATGGGAATGTAATTATATATTTATTGATGAAATTAATAAGTACTCTTAAATGCCTTGGAGAGCCTCTTAACCACACTGTCTTGTATCAATTCTGTAAAATATCAGCTTAAAAAGGGGAGAATCAGGAATTGATCACATTTACGGGAATAAAATGTTTTATTACGTAAGGCTATGGGGCTCCTTTAAACATTTTCTGGGGGACCACATTCCCTTGTCTCCTTTATGCATGCCTATGTCTCCTTTATGCAAGTCTTTAAGCTTTTACCCTGATTCCAAATAAGAAATAAGTTACTTTTGTGAGGTAGGTCTATGCGATCAATAAAACTCCTTCCAATTACCATGTAAGAGAATTAGTTCCATCTGAAACATCATATTTTCTTGAGTATAAGCCTCCACCGTTTTTTTAAAGAAAATTTCGGAAACCGATTGTTCTCGCCTATTGAACTCCTTTTTTGTCTCTGTGATGAAAACGGCTATTATATGCGGACGTTTTCTTGAGCCCTGAATGACATATTTCCACTTCTTTACTAACGTTAGTTAATTCAGAATAAATTACAAGGAGCGATGTTGACATAATTTAATATTTAGAAATGCTTATAATAGCCGTGTCACGAAATAATCACTCTCCCACTCCTCTCGCATCTTGTGAAATAGGCTGAAGAAAACGAGCGCGGATAATATTCCATACTTCTTGAGATCAGTGCTATTTCAAGAGCGAATTTACGCGTGCGTTAGAAGCGGGATCGGAATATATGTTTTTGTGTAACACTGAAAAATAAAAGACAATAATATTGAAAAATGATTTCACTTTATTTCGAAATATTTGCATACTAATACCTCTCGATTTTTGTTGCCAATTTTAAAAGGTGTACTTTTATTGGAGAAAATACGATAATTTTTTCTCTAAACAATAATTTTTCATGTCCAATTCACCGATTTTAGTATTTACGAAAGTTCATCAATCATTTTGAAAGACGCGCAACTAATCTGCGAGTGGCAGGAATGACCAAAAATTATGTTGGTACTCGTCACTTGGCGTTTTATGAACGTTCTGCGCCACTGTGATTTCATTTTCGCGTTCGCGGTTCTCTTTCCGTAGCGCAGCGTAACGTGTGAGATTTTCACGTGAAGTGTGGTTGAGTTGGACGTTTGTTTCGTTCAGCACTGCTGGGTTGTGTTTTCTGTAACTTCGATTTGGTGTAATACCGTTTTTTTGGGTTTAGACATACTACGGTACACAAAATGTCAATCGGCGTCCCAATTAAAGTGCTCCACGAAGCCGAAGGGCACATTGTAACCTGCGAGACGAACACCGGTGAAGTTTATCGAGGGAAATTAATTGAAGCTGAAGACAATATGAATTGTCAAATGTCAAATATTACAGTGACATATAGAGATGGACGAGTTGCTCAACTAGAAAATGTATACATTCGGGGATCGAAAATCCGTTTTCTCATATTACCCGATATGTTAAAAAATGCTCCAATGTTCAAAAGACAAGGCAATAAAGGAACAGGGGGCGCGGGAAGAGGAAAATCTGCTATACTAAGAGCACAAGGTGAGGTTCTACTAAAGTGCGGAGTTGTAAATTTTTATTATTGAATTATTGGGTGGTAGTTGAAACCAAGCATTGTGTGTGACATTGTGTTAAGTGTATCTATTCACTTGATGTTTCTGTTTTAATCTCGAGGCGAATGCACAAATACTAAACACATTAATAGCACAGCAGATAGTACACTTCTTATTAGTGTTCATTTTATTCCTCTTTCTTAAATATCTGCAGTCTTAATTGTGTGATGCTCTTAAAGTGAAAACCTAATTTTTATAAATTTACTTATCCAATGTCATTGTCTTTAAGTCAAAATTGTGCGAGAGTGAAATCAGAAAGAGGGTTAATGGAAAATTGTTCAGGTAATCTATGGCTCGCTGATAAGAATGGTCAGCTTCAACAAAGATCAGAATCAATGGCCCCCTATTATTAACACAATTATGTTGCCTTAGGGAGAACGAAGAGACATTTCATCAATTATAGTTCATTAGAAAACTTTGATAAAACATTGAACGATATTCATATCGTTACATCTTATAACGGTACTCAATTAGTTGTCAAATATGACGTATCAAATAATTATCAAAGATGACATTTGATAATTATTAAATCTTGATTTGTCTTAAAATGTATTATGATACTTTTGTCATAAATAACTATTATTCAATGACATAGTGCAATTGTAAATCTCTCTTAAATATTACCCTCTGGCATTGTGATAGCATGCAGAGACCATACTGTATTTCATTTTCATATTCATTTTCCATACAGTCAAGGATTCATGATATTCAAATATGTACATGCCCAACAGAAAAGGCTGATTTTGAAGTTATTGCATATCCTAAAGGTTTCCTTTTCTCTTTAAGCATCATGTCATGAGTGTACCATAGAACCTTGGATTCGGAGTTTAATCTGTTTGAAGGCAACATACTCTGTTTGTCATATCAACTGTTCTTTTAGTTTTCATCAGAATTTTTTAAGTCAATTTGTGATGTTTTGTTGTTCAAAAGATTTTATTGATCAGAATATTGCTTTGGTATGAAAAATGTTAAGCATTACGGAAAGATGCTCTTTGTCACTTGTCTGAGCTAAAAGTACTTACCACAAAAATGTAATCCCTACATAGTTTGCCACCAACTTAAGTGGCCCAGTGCATCAATTGATGTCACTGCAATGACTCTTGAGAGGTCCTAGGGTTTGAGTCCTGATGAAGGCAGGATTTTAGATGTTAGCTAGATAGCTGAATGAAGAAATTAACCTGTTGCGTGGAGGATTTTAGCTGACAGCTACTTTGGTAGTTTTCTTGGTTTCTCCAATCAACACCAGGAGAATTCTAAAGAAGTATCCTTACAAGTGGGCCACAGACCATGTGCAATCTTTGTTTCCTCCTTGTCCTTGTTCTATTCTCATCCCCTTGCAGTGTAGTGCACACACTTACACATATGTGCACTACACTACAAGACATGTTGGAGGACGTGTATGGTAGTGTAGTTGGCTTAGAGCTTGTGCCCGCTGGTTAGAGATACCTGGTTGAGGAAAATCCTGTGAGCTGACGTGTGGGTCAGCAACCGGTTCTTGACATACAGTGGGGAAAGATAACCACTGCGTCTGTTATGAAAAACGTGTGTATTACACTTACAGGGCTAATGAGCTTAGTATGTGCCCGGAAACACTAATCAATGACTTGACCTAAATTGTTTACCAGAATATTTCCGTTTTTGAATGAAATGTAATTTTAAGAGTTGAAAATGTTGATGAAATGTTCTGTTACAGCTGCCAGGGGTCGTGGTAGAGGTGCAAGAGGTCGTGGCACCAGTGGTTGGCAAGCTGGTCCAGCTAGTGGGACTAGGGGAGGTAGAGGAGATAGACCATGAGAGACAGTATAAGCAATTTCACAAGGACTGTTTTCTTTATTCATAATTTTTTTTAACTTAAGTATTATATTGTACTTGGATGTGATGTGAGTTTCATTCGTAGATTTTCAAATGATAAGTGTTGATACGTCTGGATATCATTTAATATTATAAGACTATGAAGTGAAAGTTTCTACTTGAAGATCATAAATATTCTGTTAAGACACTGAAATTAATGTACTAGTGAACATTGAATATTGTAATTGAAATACATCTTTTGTAACTTGTGTAATTTTGTTTTAATTGCTTATGAACCTTTTTTGGAAGTGCATCGTTTATCACACTAGAATCAAGAGAAACAGTGCAATGAAGCAAGCAATCTGTCTGTCTGTCCATTTGTCTGAACAACACTAGCACCTAAACCATGCTTAAAATTCTTTTAAGAAATGGATGTTCTGTGATGAGATCAACTTAAGTCTGTGGGAATTTAAAAGGAAACCTTCATTTTTCACAATTTTTTTTTATGAAACGTAGGTTAAGTTTTTAAAATTATATCAAAAAAGTTCCAATTTTTAACTTTTCCTGCTATTAATTGTAAAAAGCTTCAGAATTTATCAAAAAACTTGAGATCAATATTTCGGGGGTAAGTTTTGAGGAACTCTTGACGATTAAAGCATTTTAAATCTGGATGAATGTGTATGTGAATCTGTGGTCACATGACTGAGAGTTTAAGCTTTTGAGCTCTTTTGCCTGCTGTTACAAAGATTGATTCATGCAGGTGGCAAGTTATATAAGCAGTTTTGTAACAAGCAAAATAGTTGGAAGCGCTCTAGGTTAAGTAAAAGTGTTGGGACATGAGATAAGGTAATCTGCTGGTCACCAGTCCCCATCACACCCCTCTACACGACAAGAGTTGTGAGAGGACAATTGGTTATGAAATTAATGTGTTTATAATATGTGCCAAAAAGTAAAATTTTCAGTTTTACTTAACATGCTCTTGGGACTGTGGGATCAATCAATACAAGTTTACTATACTGTCATGCTAGTAAATTGTTATTCCCTTCTCTAGGCACTACAATATCAAAATAATGCATTTCACAAGATTTTGGAATAGTCTCCCCTCTTTTTAATTTGAGTAAAGCAAAGTGTGTGCCTATGAATATAGTAAAGTCTGATTTTACCTAACTTCTCATTTATTAAACATTACAAAGTGATTTTTTTTAATGTTGCTCAGACGTTATTTTCTGTGTTCTAATGTTAGTAGAGCAAGAAGAATCTGTTTGAAACTGAAATCATAATTTGAGTTTATAACTCAAAGTTCACTTGTTATTGAGCTTATTTGTTTTTTTTCCAAAATATGATTATTACAATATTAAAACTGTTAAACAACTTATTCTGATTCATTTGTTGAAAAATGTGAAGTATGCAAATCTTGATGTATTGATTGAAACTAGTCTCAATCATGTTGGTCACTGCTAAACATAATATACTATTAATGAGAATTAACTTTGCAATGGAGTTTCATGAAGAAAAACAAGCTGAGTGACAAATACCTCGAATTTCCAACTGTGGTCAAAACTGCATTGGGGATAGGCAGGCTTATGAGTACCTAGGCAGCTTTTTTAAACTTCAGCAGTTTGCAAGTATCTATCATCGAGCAATCAAGGTCGGTGCACCTGCTGAAAACAAGTTCGTTTGCTTTTCAGAACTAAGATCAGCGGCGACAGTCTAATTCAGGTTTTCAACATTTTCACTCTACCGATTACTTTTCTAGAAATAGTAGGACACAAGCCGATCTTGACAATCTAGACCGCGAAAGCAGAAAACTAATGACAATTTAACGCTTTCTTTACCAGCACAGTGACGTTAACATCTCTTCCGCGGACGCAGATGCCGTGGGCTTCAACAAATGAAAAGTTTTCAAACCAGGAAGCCTGAAGGCGAGAGACTTCTTGGTTCAAAAATAGACCATCGCTGACAGAAAGCTTCCAAATATCTAGGGAGATGTGGTTCGTTGAATAATGTAGGTAAAGTGTCCTTAATTTGGAAGCGCCTGCTTTTTTTAAGAGAGAGGAAACAATAAAAATGTGACGTGACCTGGCATGGTAAGATACCCGGTTCATCGATTGGAATGTGGGGCTGGCTGCATGACAACTTCCTCGAGGAAGATGAACTAGCCATATGGACTAGGCCATGAGCGCCGATAGATAAGGGCAGACTGAAAACTACATCGTTAATCGCTTGGTGCCTGTGGCAAGTGGACTCTGGAATCTGCAGAGTGTGGCTTGCACATTACTTATTAATGGTGGAAGTACAAGATAGCCAATACCCTAATAAAATATACTGGGATTTAAAAACCCAGATAGACCCTTGATTGCATCATACATTGCCAGATCTCAGCTTCTTTAGAAGAGGAGGTGCGGATGGATAGTGGATGAGGCCATCCCTAGGGAACAAGGAGATAATATAATATAGTGTTCTTTACGTCGGACTGAAAGCGGATGGCAACGGTTGTTCCGGTAGTACCGGGCTCTCATTTTATTCAGACTTAACGATACACCTGAGAACGCAAGCATGAATGACGCAGTCTTAAAGCGATTCCAACAATCCACCTGCTAAAGACCGCAATCCACCTACATAGGACCCGACTTCAGAGAAGTTCGAACCAGCAGTTAAGGATGGCAGTCTAATAACACCCTACGAATTTTGAAATCATACCGTCATTTTATGTGGTGAATATATTTTAGTCCCCCCCCCACACACACACACACACACTTTCCTCCACTGAAAATTATACTTCAAAAAATTCAAATAACGCCCTTATGATCAATACACTGCTTAAACCGTGCATTAGAAAGATCATGGTGAAGGTGCTAAAAATAATTATTCGTATGTAATTTTGGTTGGGTTTGTTGCCGATTGAAACCGCAGAAAGATTCATTCACACTCGTCGGATCAGGGGCATTGATGAACCACGCAGCAAAAGTATGTGATAGTTAGAACCTCGTTCTGGGTTCCTTTAAAACATCTGAAGATAAGAGTTTTTCAGACGAATGATTAATAAAAATAGAACCCCGTTTTTGTGTATATCATATTGTTGATGTTTTATTCGTTTAAATTTTCAAACGACGGAGACTACTTTTTAATATTTATATTGATATTTTATTTATTATTCACAGAGAAAGTCAAAACATGAAAAAAATGGATTATTCTACCTATCATTTGGTAACTATTTCTAAGTAATGTGTTAGCAATGCATTAAATATTTTATCGTGATGGCAGATTATATGAGGAGAAATGCTATTCATGATGCAAAGATAAATATTTCCACAAATCTCTGAACTTCAGTTTGAATTTTATTCGCGGTTTAAATTTAATGTTTGTAAGTGACTCTCGGTTCGGAATCAAGGCGAACACTGAAAATATGAAGAGATGAGCAGAGGTAAAAACCGAGAGAAATGAAGAGAAACGAACGTTCCGACAGCATAGAATACGGGTCAAATAATACGCGTTCTGTGACTGATTGTGGCCGACCGACACCGCCGAAACCGGCGTCAAACGCTATAAGCAAGGGAACTTCGGGCCTGTCTTCCTTGGCAGTGAAGAAACTGCGTGTGTGAAGTAGAATGAATCACAATATTGCGATAATGAACGTTGTTTGTGGTGAGAAGAAGTTACATAACGTAGTGTGTACTTGTCTCATCTTTTAATTGAACCGAATTGCTTGTCAAACGCGACCTTCACTGAATACAGGAAGGTTATATTAAAGCGGTATTTTAGTATGCAGTTGAATGAAATCTCTCGTCAGTCGTTAGAGCGCAAAATGGGTAAGACGCATTATGGAAAACAGTGGAGCGTATTCGTGGAGTTGATGGGTCGATCAGCAATGTTGTAAAACTTTCTGGAGCGGCTACAAAAATGGGTCGTCTTCCGTACGTGGGCAAGGAACGTGAGGTAGGTCGACCAAGTCACAGGCCAAGGAACATGACGGTACGGTAGGAGCGCGTCTGTCATTTTCTTGTTTTCTTGTAGGTGTCTCCTTATGGATATACATACTAAAAAAATTGTAATTAATTTTATGAGAAATATAAACTTTCACGTACAAATTGCTTTGGTTATACAGGGCGAGGCCTCACAAAAGAAATGAGAATTTTTTGTTTTCTCCTCATGTCATTCCATTTCTTACTTGTCATTCTTATGTAATAACCATATTTTTTCATAGTATTTAGTTCAGACCAATTTTAATTAATTAATATTGGAATTTTATGTATCATATATTTGCATTAATTGTAATATTCTCATTTAATAGGTTAACACCTATCCAGCATCACTATTGTTGGTGTCTGTATTAGGCTCCCTGGGCACTGCCACGGGATCTGTTATCCTGCTAGGACCTGAAGAGCGTATATCAGTTGTCCGGGGTGCTTGGCTGTCATTGTTGGGCCTTATCTTCTTTGCTTCATTATTTGATCTCCTCAACTATATTGCCTTGCGCACTGACTTTGGACACAATTTTCGCAAGAAATATGAATTGACCCTTTCAGAGGTGCTTGATATTTCCAACAAGTAAGTATGCTAACTACAAGTGAAATAGTTTGTTACATATGCTATATAGAGAAGGTGAACTATTGAAGATTTTAATTTTTGCAATTGCTATTCTACAAATGTGATCGTTGCAGCTACTTGCATACTGGAGTGGTAGAATGGAATTACAGTAAAACCTCCTTTAACTGGGAATCCACTTATTGAGGGTTTGTTTCTTAATGAACATTATTAAACAAATGAATTGAAAGAATATAGTATGAAGTCTTAATGCCAGCTCGGGATGATTTAATCAATTGATTTGGGAATGGGCTCATGATGGGAAAAAGTACAAAAATTAATTGAGAAATACTAAAAATAAACAACTCCGAAACAATATTTTCAGCAAATAAAGTTATTACGGGCTGAAGGGCTGTGTGCAGTAGTGGTTAAACCGTTAGAAAAGAAAATGAGAGTTCTTTTGAATATGCAATTGGTATTAAGAGGATAAAGATAAATTTGTTTCATGAAAGAAGTTCTATTATATCATGCATGACTTTAGTCCCCTACCCTCTGTTGGGATTCTGTTATGTTTCAATGAATCAGTTGGTGAATAAATTTTGTTCATTGTAATTCTGAGACTACTACCTATTGCTTATTGCAATTTTCTTCTTTTCCAATATCTTGAGGTAAAATAGTCATCAGAGATATTTCATTTATTGATGGGACACATTTATGAAATTTCACTTATATGTTGACTATAGGGTGTGATGTGAGAATGTAACCTATATAGAACCTGCTAATATTGCAAAATCCTGCCCATTTGTAACTAAAAACAGTTAAGTTTCATTAATGAATTGAAAATTTGAAGTACAAAAGGAGTAAAGTGACACTTCTGTTAAATTTATGTTTTTACCGGAACAATGTTGAATGAATCAATCCCTATAACCTAAATAAGAACCAAAGTCCAGATGCATTTCTTGATAGTGTTACGGGGTGATTATAAATGGCAGTTGTTGTATGTGCCAATAGGTTTAATGTATATAGACTCAATTTTCTTGAACTTATGAAAATGGCAATTACATCCTTTTTTATTTCAAGCCTTCAATTAATTAGAATCTTATCAGAATTATGTGAATCTCTCAATTATGAAACTGAACTTATTGCATCTTTAATTGTTAAAATCAGAGTACATAAAATTCATCAGAATTTACCAAAAGGGAATAGATGACATGTATAGTATTTTTGAGAATATATGTAAATGGTAATATTTTTTAATACTCGTTTTCCAGCTGATGCACATGAACATTAAATGGTATTAATACATTATAAATGAAGAGTTGAAGAAAATTATCATTATCTTTTATTAAAGCATATTATTTGTTTATATAAAGCTTGTTTCATGTTTATTAAATTTAGACTACCTTGTTCATTCAATTTAAGTTTGTAGAATAGGGTATAAAGGTTACTTGCAAACTATAAAAACCCGCATTTAACTCCCCCGCCGCACAGTCCAACCCATCATCAACTTACTTGTTCAGTGCATTTTAGAATTCCAAGTAGCATTTCTCACTGGTAATACAAGACCCTATTTTGTTAATTTATATTAAAACATTGATGTAATTAATTTGAGTTTATCATGTAAATCATGAATAATAATAGTTTTTCACAAGTTGGTTTTTGAGCGAGAGTGTAAAAATAAGAAACCAAGTATTTACATGTACTTTCAAATTATAATAAAGTTTTTGCTACCATAATTATTTAACAAAAATTCACATGGTAATAAAAAAAATTCTTTTACAGGACTGTTTCAGCTGTTCAGGCTCTACTTTCTTGCATTACTGGTACAATTGTATGCCTATGGTCTTGTACTAGATCATTTCTAAGGTCTTCTCATTTTATGTCCGAAGCATATGCTTGGTTTGGAGCTGCTTATTTTTTTTATGATATCTGGTCAATGTATCGAGTACATACTGTTAATGCTGCACATCGCCATGCTCGTCGTTTAGCTCGCTGGCGAGAGTACCTTTATCAACAACCTGTCATCGTTTTCCATCATCTGTTCATTGGCTCCTTTGGATTTCTTGTCATTGTGGTAAGTGGATGAAATTTTCAAGTTATGAATCATAAAATGCACTAATAGAACATTACTTTGAAGGGAAAATTCTTTGTATTCTCTGTGATTGCAACATTGACAGAAAAGAGCAATAATGCTTCTGCTTACAATATTTTTTAAAAAATTTTAAATTTTAATTTCCAACTTAATTTGTAAGTTTTGTAACATCAAATTTGATTACAAGTAGGATATATATCAATTAGTTGATGATTAAGACAAATTTTAGCTAGTATCACTTTCAAAATATAAAAGCAATGGTTTGAATATTGCGATCTTAGATATTCATTCACCAACTTTAGGAAGTTAGGTGTACAGATTCCAAACACATTTGCTTATTAATATGGAATGGGTGTAAAAGAAAAAAAGAACAGAATTGATACCTGGTTGGAATAAATCCTTTGAATAATTTGATTTATTAAATAATTTTTGCATTGTAACAAGGTAACATTAAGAGTGATATATGCAATGTGGAGCATATTTCCATTGAATTGTGATAGTCTAGTGACAATCAAAAATTAATATGGATATTTTCATCTTTTCTTGTCGCTCCAATATTTTACTACATTCATCAGCATTACAATGCCATTTTTAATAATAACATACTTGTTATTAAGGGGAAAGTACAAGTAAATGAATGACATAATGCAATTAATACAATAGTTCCGAACATTTTTGAACTACACTACAATTTATTTTTTCCATCATGCTTAATTTCCTTTGAATAAGATTTCTGGACAGTTCTTAATATTCTTCTGAAACTTTAAAACACTGATTTTGTGTTGTCTCCAGATAAAATATCTTCGTTTTCATCTATTTTCAAATGAGTGACAAAAAGATAATGTTATTATCATGGTAGAAAAATTGAGACATTCAACAAGAGCTCAGAATCTTGGTTAAGGTGCCCCTTGTTGAGCCAGAAGAGATATTCCTAAGAAAGATGAAAATTGCAATCTAATTGTACTATATTTTATAACATGAATTAATTTCATTTTCTTCATTTGTAATGTTCCTGTTCGTTTTTCCTAACGCTGGTGGAGGGGGGGGGGGACTAGCCTTCCCCAAAAGGCCTAGAGTTCTTTTTTACTTTCCTTTATTTGGCAAAATTTATTTAAATACTTATTGATGTATGAATTATGAAATTATGTAAACAATATTGTATAGTATTGTATGTACAGTTCAAAAATAATATAAAATATAATAACAAATATGTTTATGCTGTCCTGGAATGTCATTGTATAAGAAAATAAGTTCTTAAGCATTAGTGCAATGGTTTAAGTATTGTTATAAAAAAGTAGTAAACAAGACCGATCATGAATCTATTAAATATATTGAACATAAAATATTAAGGATTAATGTAATTAATATTTAACAATTAATTTACAAAATTATATTTTATCTGAAAGTATACTACTCAAAATTTAATGTGAAATAAGGATTATGAATGAATGGAATTTTCTTAAATTCTGAAAATAATAATGAAAATGTCTTTGTTGCAGTATTTGCGTGGTGGTTTAGGAGATTGTGTATTTGGCTTTGTGTATCTGATGGAACTTAGCACCCCATTTGTATCATTCAGAGGCATTTTAAGTAAATTGAAGGTTAGTATTTGCATGAAAAATAAATTTTTCTTTGGAGGTACTTAAATTTTCCTTGTAGGTATTTTTAAACAATAAAAAATTATTTTGATTCTGTAACAATTAAGGTAAGTAAGTGCCAATGTACATCTGTTTGCTCTACTTGTTTCTTTTCAGAACTTAAAATGCAATTGAGGGTTGGAGTGACATTTTGGTCAATAATGATATTTACGAATTTACAAAATGATATTTTTAATAATTAATTAAAAATAATTTTAATTAAAATTATTAAAATATTTTTTACATTAAGTGCAGTAGCTCAATTGGTATAACGCAGTGGTGACTTATGCACTCTGTGGAAAAGGAGATGCGAGGAATATATTGAATATACTACTTAAAAAATGAAACATTTCACAAATTAGATTAAATTCTTTAACTAGGATAAGAGAGAAACCTTTCCTTTCAAACAGACTTTCTTTTCCTTTCACACAAGATTCTGTCAGCACACATTGTGAATGGTACACCAACTGTTCTGTCCCTGGTCTCCCGGCCCTTGCAGGCATGTGATATCACTTGTTAATGTTAATGTATCACACCCCACAGTGATTAATGTATTTCAAAGAGATGTATGCAAAAAGCTGCTGAAAAGAGAAAGGATATTCTTCTGTGTGCTTTTAAAAAAGTCCCTTCTTTTGGCTGCAGGAGCACTGTGAGATATGGGACAATAAAGACATTAGGGGTGGAGAGGCTGACATTTTCTCCTCTGAGCTATTAGATTGTTTTCTTGTCTCCTAAAAGTATGCTTTGTTTAAAACATGACCTGAGTAAATTTTCTCATTAAAGTCAACTTAAAAATTTAACATTTTCTGTCACTATTAAATCAAATATTTGATTTGACAATTATATTCAGAAGAAGAAAACCTGTGAAGAGAGCTTTCCTCCCTTCCCTTTCCTGTGAAATCACCACTGCAATAATGTCATCCGAAGCTTGTTTGAAAATTAGTTTAGTGTGTATTAATATTTCATTTATTATATATTTATAACTGGAAACTCTTTTATTACTCTACATTTTGAAATATATTTTATAAAGTGATTCATTCAATTCATTCTAATCTATTTAATATAGTTGCGACAAGATTCATTACTGTCACGGTTTTTACTTCCTTGCATACCAAATAAAATGTAGAGGCCTTAATGTCACACTGGTGTAACTGCATTTTTCTATTTTTACTTTCATGTATGGGTGTACACAGAGTAATATGTGTAGTGTAGAGAAAGATACGCAATGCTGCTGAAAATCGAATTCGAGAAATACATATTTTGGGGTTCCCCCGATACCAATAATGTGTTGTTTCTTTCAAAATGTCCTTCAATCTGACGGTCTGTCTGCTGTTTGTGTGTATAAACTATGTGTAGGACTATTGCAAACTGAGTAAACCAATTAATGCGGCCTCATTTGAAGCTCTGTGATTTAGAAAAACACTCATTAATTTTTGTGGGTACTTTACACGAAGCCCCTTCGGACTTTTTTAAAACTTGGCACCAACTTTTTTCTTTAAACATCTTGTAAGAATAGAGTGAAATAAACTTACAATGGTGGCAAGGTCTGATTCACCCTCCAAGTTCTCGAATATTGAAAAAGATTTAAATGTTTTGGAAGTCTTCTTACAACTGCAAAATGGATGAAACAAATTTTCCCTTTAATGATATTTGTTCTCCTTCATTAGTTCGTTCATTAAGGTCATGTTAATTTTTGTGAAAATGTTAGTAATTTTCACAGAATACTGCTTAAAATATGTGCAATATTAAAAAGTGTGGGAAAAAAATCACAAAATGCTCCAAATTTAAAAAAAAAATTTTTTGAAGAGAGTGCTAATTGTACTGCATAAGACAGCATGTACTGCATAAACAAAATATATAGGCAATCTATTTGTCAGTTAACAACTCTACCTTCAAGTACACAAAATTTTCTCAAAAAGGAATATTCTCCTATCAATCTCACTGAACTTGAAAGTGAAGTTAAATTAATTATTTTTGGGGGTACTTTACATGAAATCCCTCAGACATTTTAAAAATATTCTCAAAAAGACTCCATAATTTTAAATTTTATTTTTCTCAAATGTAGCAGTGTGTTTACAAACATACAATTTTTCAGTAACGCTTCTGAAATTTAAAAAAATTGTGCAAGTTTAATTTTTTTCAAACCTTTTTAATTCTAGTCTTTAATAATAGTTCTTTAAATAATTTTGTATACAATTTTTTTTAAAATGCACTTTTATTATGTACAATTTTCTGTGAAAAAATAAGAACTTTTCACAAACATCAAAAGGATTTTGTGAATTATTTTTTTCCCTTAAAATTATTTGTGAAGATAGAGAATAATGCTCTATGAAATAAGTACAATTTTCATTCAATCTTGAATTATAAAAAATTAAAGATGTGGTGTTTTTTTTATTGATCCTTGTGCGACTAGACTGCTTGACCATCAGTACGACATTGAACTTCAAAACCTGAGTACAGAATTCAAATTCCAACTTTGGCAAAAGTTGTGGGTTGGGAAAAGTTGAAAGGCATGTGCGAGGCGATCCCCAAGTGAAGTGACCAATTGCTGGTTGTGAAAACATTGTATTTGGGTTCAAATGTGTGAAATTTTTGCATGCAATTCAGCTAGTATTATTATATAACATAATTGTTATTAATAATACTAGAAAGAGTATGCTGTTGTAGCCTTACTAGGAATATTGTAATACTTTGTCTTTTGTTTGATAGCATTATGAAACTTTTCTTGTATTGATGTTCATGTATTTTCCTACTCTCCTGTGTCTTGTATGGGTGTTTCTGATATTTGCTTCCTCTGCCCTGCAGATGAAATCAACCCAACTATATGTTGTAAATGGTCTAGTGATGCTGATCACTTTTTTCTTCTGTCGTGTTGTGATGTTCCCTTATGTGTGTTATTTGTACAGCCAAATTATTGGTATGTCATTTTGGGAGGTGAGTAGTGTCTGTGTTTCATTTATCAATGTATTTGTAGATGAAAAGGGGACAAAGTGAACATAGGTTAACTTTCTCAATGCACAAGTAATTTTTATTCAAATGTACAAATGCAAAGGAGAACTTTTTTGCAAAGACAAAGGAACACTTTTGTGTATTTTGTGTGGTTGTTCATTTCCTTCTCTCCCTCAAAATACTTGACCATGTATTATCCGGAAAAATGAAATTCTCTCTTACATTTCTGAGAGTACCCTAGGCTAGGTGTTCTTGGTTTTAATTCAGTAAATAAATTTAATTTAGAGATTATAGGAAACTGTGTGGAAGTTGTTAATATTTTAAGCTAGAGATTTCACAAATCACAGATGCATCACTGGTGATTGGCAATTAGATAATTGCATGCTTCACTGCGTTTCACTGGTTACACTAATAAGTAGAATGATATTTTCTTAAACATCCAAGATAATTGTCCCTACAACTGGCTCGAATTCCATGAATGTTTGTTTTAAAACATATATATTTAATAAAGCTTATAAAGGCATTTGTATTGATTCAATACTCATGTATCTTGGCTTGTGCATATCACTTCAGATACTTGTATGGATTCATAGGTAGCATAAATGGTTAGGGAAAAGTATTTAATTGTTCATGTTCTCAAAGTCAGAGGGAGGGTGTTCAGATATATACCTGCACACCAAGTAGTACAGATTGTAATATCATTTAATAATACCACATAATTAATAGATCTAATATCAACATTTACCTATTTTAGTTACTCAATGAATTATAAGAATTTTTCCTTCTATTAATATTTCACATTATGGAAAACAAAATATGTACACTTTTCAAATGAAAATGCAGTGGAGATTGAGAAAATAAAATCAATAATTACTACATAATAGAAACACAAAATCCAAATTTATAAGAGAATGAAAATTCTCTATTGAAATTTAATAAATCAGTCCATTTTGAATTATTGAATTAAAAAATTTCTGTTCAAAATTTCTTTTTAAAGAATTTCAATAATGGAATTACATAGAAACTTCAATAATTTAATAATTTTAAGTTTCTCTCCTTTGAGATTTTTGTGAAAATTCTTAACACACATTCAACTTGAAAAAATGCAATACAATTTATGTGTTGCATAAATACATCATGTGCCTTCTTCTAGTAAACCTTGCCATAAATTCTTGAAATCTAGTTCCAGTTCTTCCATACTGAAATACTTAATTAAACTTAATAATTCTATCTTCAGTAAAAATTCTTTTTACACTTTCACTTTTCAAGGATCAGAGAAAAAATTGTGTAAATCGCAAGAAAGTATAAATGGTGGGATTGCACATCCAAATACGTACATTTTTTCAATTTTTTTCTAGAATACAAATACTTTGTTATTGAAATTTTGATAAGATCAAATAAATAAAAACTTTCTTAAAGCCATTCCAAAAGACAAACATGTTACTGTATTTAGAAAGAAATGTCTGCAAAATATTACTTAAATGCATGCAACCCACAACATGATACTTTTCCCCATATTTTGGAAGAATTTAAAAGCAATATCATATAGCCCAGGACAGCATTGAGTAATTTTGACTTTCCCTGATCTCGAACAGTTTGTACGGGTTGGTGAGAACAAACATAAAGATCATCAGCCATTCTATCCTTTGCATTTGTGCAGTCATGGGGAAAGATTATAAATGGTTGGATATTTTAATTTCAAAAGTTTAAAAAGCAGAGATGGTTCTGAAATCATAAAAGTGATAATCGTTAATTTTTCAGTTACTTTCCTAACTTAAAATTTGCATTTTTTAAGTTGTTGTTTTTTAATTTATTTTACATACAGCAATTTCTAATGCTAATTTGGCAGTAGTTCCTGCTACTAGTAATTGCTACTGCCATTTGATAATGCATGTTAAGTGTTCTTCTTTTTCAATTATGTACCTCAGCATTGTGGAGGGTTTAGATCTTACCAAGTACTCTCACAAAAGTTTAGCATAAAATATGTGAATTAGATATGGATTTCACAACTGTGAGTTTCAGGGGTGTATTCTTTCCCATCACTGAGAATCAATCTTTTTTTGGAATGTGAGTTCTTTAATAACTTTAGCTACCCATCTTATAGAAATGTTTAGAGCAGTTGGGATTTTTTCTTTATTGAACAATTATCATGTGTCTGACATTGTATTGATGTATAAGGTGATCTATGTAGGGTGAGATATTTCATGAATTGTTTTGTGAAAAAAAATAAGAAGTTTATGTTCTACATTTTCAGAATAAGGTTCCTTCTGATAGTAACTGAGAATTTATTTTGTTTTGATAAATGTTTTAATGAAAACAGTTAATGGAAATTGATCAGTAGTCTTAAGTGAATCATATTAAAAAGAATTCAAAGCTGGTGTGTATAGATATAATCTGGAAGTTAAGAAGTATGGAGTTTTTTCTGTTGTTTGTTCCTATTCTTCAAACAGAAAATAATGTGCATATAAATTTTACTATTTTTTGATAATTTAGGCCAATTGGTGCATAATATATACAATCATAGTCAGTCTTCCAAACGAAATATGCTTTGTTAACACACTAACAAATGGGTCTCTGTGGTTCTCCAGCATCTAATTTATGGTTACAGTAACTAACAAGTCATCTTCACTTGAAATTGCAAAGCTTTATATTTTAAATTTATGAGAGTTTCTGTTTTTATTTGGTTTGCTTTTGTATGTAATTTAAAATATTGGAAGATTCAAGTGAAAACACATGTTTCACATTATTTATATACTGGCATGTATATTTGCAGACAGTTGCCAAATTATAGTGTTTTTTAAAAAGTTAAAAATTATTTGGAAATGAATCATATGGCACAAACTATTTGAGGTTTGAACAGGTTCTTTTTGACAATGTTTTATTTTTACATTCTAACAAAAGTATTTAAGGATATTGTTGATGACTTGTATTAATAACAAAATTATTCACTTTTTGACTCTCCACCAGGAAGAAGTGATTCCATCAGTTATATCGGTGTCACAATGGGACCCAAATAATTCATAGAATTAAGAACTCTCAAGTCTCTTTGAACTTTCCAATGTTAGGTTTGGTAAAAGTTCATTCTATTTTGTTTTTAAGAAGTTTTTATTTGTAAAGTAACACTTCATTATAGTTCCTGTAGAACGGGAGTATGCTAATATTTAAAATGCTTGCAATCTAAAAATAATTATAGGCTATTTTTGAAAATTGTATTTATGAATATGATGGTACATAAATTAAAGAATTTGTGTTGCACAAAGAAAAGTTTAAGTTCTCATAATATAGGATCCCCAATAGGAACTAGATACCCAAACAATAAAAAACAGGTCTTATCAGTAAGCAATAGAATACATGAAGTGTATTTAGATGTGAAATTTCCTTAAATTTTTATTCTTCTCATAAATCTCAACATCTATAATGATTTATTGTAGTTATGTAATCAATATGACCATTGATCTCCAATTTTGAACACAAATTTATATCCAGATCTTTATATTCTGAAACATCCTCTAAAATCTGACAATTTGTAGAACATTGAAGGCAAATCAGATCATAATTTCAAGTATCATAGAACTTCACAATTTAACTCATTAAGATGTTGATGGTTTGTTTCATTACATACTAAATCAAAATTTGATTAACAGCTGAGGCAAATTCATCTCTTTGTAGTTCTCCTTTTGAATTACACATTGTAATGTTAAAAATTATCTCAAACTGGAGTGATAAATGGAGTGCATTTTATAACAAAGAAATATAAGTAACACAATTAATAATGTCTATAAATTAATTGTATTGACTTTTCCACAGTTCTGAAATTGTTTGAAATGTTGATTTATGGGGAGAATATGACACTTTTAATGCATTTTTGAACATTTTGCAGATGTATTTTACTTAGTTAAAACTGTTTCTAATTTATTTTCTTTGGTAAATAAGTTACATTATTTTTCATCTAGGCGGTGATGGGACTGCCTGCTGGTTGCAAAGCAGGAATTGCTACGTTAATGTTACCACAAGTCTATTGGTTCCTGCTAATGGTGCAAGGTGCAGCTAAAGTATTTTGCCCATCTGTATTTGGCCGTGGCCATGGAGGCAGCAGAGCTCAGATTGCAACACCAACTAGGAGCATCGACTCCCATCATGACCCTGTTGATAACTACCGTGTCAATGGCAAAAGCTGATCATTGGACCTCTCCAGCAACTTCCAGCAAACCCACATTTTCAGCTTCCTCTCTGTGTCTCCTGCCGCCTGCTGTGTTCATTGTACATTGTATATTGCCTGTTAATACTCTTATTTGTATTGAATATTCTTTGTCGTACTCAAATCACTGTATAGGAATTATATCGTTATTGGGATATGATTACATTTCGTGTTGATGTGAGGAGACATAGATTTTAAACTCCTGATGCATTTCTCAAAAGAAAACATTTAAATTTCTGTTTATTTTCTGTTCCATTTTATTTTGCATTTTCGCAAGCTGCTGTTGCATTTCTCAGAACATGGCCATACAATTTTAGCATTTTTCTATTATTTACTTTAGCCTTCTAGGTTAGTGTTTGGAAGATTTATAATGCCAATTGTCTTGTGTTCTCTGTTTTGTTACATAAGCTTTAGATGATTCCGTTTGAGAGTTCTGGTCTCACAATGAAACAAAAATACTCAGTTTGCAGCTATGAGAGAATTTTGAGGAAATTGTTTTTGTGAATTCATTTAAATTGCACTGGCTTCCATTGTGCTGGTCTTCCCACTGTTACAGTTTTTGTGCAAGTTGGCATGTGCACATTAGTGTACTGTGGTAGCTATTGTTAACAACTAAGAAACATGCCTTCTGTTGTGCAAGATTTTGAAGTTGAATAATGCATTGTAGAAAAACCTGGATGCAGGTTTAAAATTGGGGGATAGGATCTTGAAGGAGTTAATGTATAATTTAGATGTAGATCTGTTGAGCGCAATATTTTGTGTTTTAGATTCTGAACTTCTAATTCTCATTAAGAGCATTTAATTTTATGTTCTAGACTTTTTATCTGATTTAATTCATGTTCCTGTAGAAGATCGCTTGGGAGATTCAGGAAGACTAGTCAAGCTGATTAGGAATGTATTGTCTTCTTCCCATTTAGTCATATTCCTAGGCTTATTCACAATCCCTCCATGTTGTGTATTTCATAGCATGTGTTTGCACCTGACTGTAGAGTCAGCAAAATAGCATCATGCACAATGTTGAATGTTCATTCTATCATGCAGATAGGATACTCTTTGGTTTGTGATGTCAACCATCTTGTTATATCTGAAGGTTGCTTTGCTTTTGATTATTTTAGTCTAGTCTTTAGCTGAATATCTTCAGTTAGACAAGGCTCATGAAAGCTTAGTTGTTTGGACTTGGAATGCAGCAGAAACTGCTTTCCTATAGCATTTCCTGTAATCATTGTCTTAGGTTAGTGTGCTGTACATGTTTTATGCTCCAATATGTACACCTGGTGTTGTGGAAGATATGGGTTGTTCCAAAGTAGCGAATTTGTTTGTCATATATAATGAATATATTTTCTAGTCCATAGCTGATTGTCTTCCTCCAGGTGAGTCAGTTAGAATAATGCGAGGTTTCTGCCTTGCAAGTACAAACATTCGAGATTTTCCTTAATGGCTTCCTCCAACCAATGTCTTGGTGATAAAAATCTCATGTTATGTTTATTTAAGTTGATGATCCACCTTCTTTTATTAGGGTTTTGTTATTTATTATGTGGAAAGAAAGGGATGCACATTTATGTGTGCAAGTAAGTAAGCCTGCATTGACAACAAGACTTATTTATAATCTCTGTACAGTGTGCTGGCAATAAACTGTTACCTGGTGTTGTAGTACATGTTTTTTTTCTTCTTAACCATGTCGTTCTGGTCCTTTTTTATAATAAAAGAAAGATTGTAACAAGTGTTTAAAATTGCTTTAGTTTAGTAACTTATGGAGTCTCATTTTGGATACTTGCTTGATAAATGCATGTGTTGTTAAAATAACTTGTGAATTGTTTTCAAGTTCTTAGCTAGGTTATCAATACCGAAAGGTTATTTTAATCAATCCATAATCCAAGAGATCTAAAAGATTGCACTTTCACAATGTTTATATATATAGTAAACACCACAATGAAAAAAGGCAGTTGTTAAAACAATATTGAGATTGTACTCATAGGAAAGTATTAAGACAACATCCAAAAACTTTAAATAATTTTGCCTGTTGAAATTCAGTAATGGACTAATTTTACAAAAATATACCAGATGTAAAAATCGACTGGTTGAGTGTGACAAAAAAATTTTTAAACAAAGATTCCCTTGCTTTACAAAAATATGCATACATAAATATATAAATAAATGAGAAAATATGAATGTCTATATAATCCAGGGATATCGGAAATTGGTCAAAAACTTAACTGCAGATTGTGTCAATATTTGCTTTTACAGAGGCATTTGAATTTTTCAGATGGTGAAGATATTAGAGAGACCAAATTACTCATTCATTTATAACCAAAAAAAATTGTTGGTACTTTTCTCTCTTGTGGAAGTAAGTGATTTGAGCTTTTATGGTAAAGGCAATCATAATACATTCAAAACGTAATTGGAAATTGAATTACAACATAAGAACAAAACAAGATTTCAGAAAATAGATGATCTTCTTGCAGATTTTGTACGTGCAAGGCCTGTTGTTTGCAATATATCATCTGCATAACCTTCACCATTGCTTTCTGTCTCTGGAGTTTCATGGCCAGTTTCTATTTCAAATTCAGAAAAATCTCGAATTTTTTGCATCATTTTGATTTCATTCAGAAGGTCTTCATCCTTTAAGTGGTGCTATAAAAGATACAATATTTTAAATTACATGTTGCAACATGGTAATTTGATGAAATTAGTGTTGGACATGTAGGATCTTGCTAATGCATTTCCTATTTGCCACTTTCATACATTTATTTCTATCCTGTGAATACATTAAGATTTGCATTACATTAAAGAAGTAATGAACAAATACTTCAGAATTAAATTGAGGGTTCTTTTGTTGTTTTTTGGCAATAATTAATGCCATATATGGTTGTTACTATTTTTATAAAATTAATAATTAGAAAAGTATATTTTACCTCATTTAAAAAGAAAATGAAATTAATTGTATCAAATGATTTTTACTCATTCATATCTTATAATGAAATAGCAATTCTTGAAAAAACTGTAATATGAAAATCAAAAGTAAATGAAATGTCTATATTGATTGGATTTAATGAGCAGGATACTGTATTACTCAACACAAAATAGAAACAATACTATTTATTTAAATTTATTTGTAAGGAAATTTAATGATATACAAATGCTTAGGTAAAACTATTGAAGCTAGAAATGTGGTATATGGAATCTACATTTTTCTTAATATGGTGTTACCACCAAGAGGTATTTCCAAAATTCTACTTTCTTAGGAGCGAAAAAGCTTTGGGTATGTACAAGTGGGTGGGTAGGGGGAATGCAAGTACACATTTGTGAGGGGGGGGGGAGGATGGTCAAAGTCTGAAATAATATTATCCAGCCCTGCCCCAAGCAACACTGCATGGTTTGTTGGAGCATTCGTTTCGGGGAACCTGTACATTACACTTCAGAGATGTTGAAAAATATTTTTACCTTCTATAGATGTGACTTTGTGGATAATTTGCTGTTGATCTTTAAAGCAGTGTCTGAGTAAATATTTTCTTCTATAATTATAATAATCAATTATTAATAAACTGGTTTACCTTGATTGTCATTCTGAAGCACTGTTGGAATCTCCTTTCATTTCCATACACAAGGCTTATTAGTGCTAGATAACCCCAAGTAACTGGGCAGGTGTTATCTAGAACATTTGCTTCACTGAAAGCTTCCTCTGCTTCCTGTACATGTGTCATCTGCTGACAGAGTATAATAGATAAACAGTACGGTTCATTATATTTTATTCATTTTTACTTTCCACTATACATATGTATATACGGAGTGATATACACATAGTATAGGGAAAGTTATGTAGTGTTGTGGAAAATCTATTTTCAGATTTCCAAGGAAATACATGTTTTGGGTTCCCCTGTTGCTGAAAGTGTTTTTTCAAAACCTCCATCGATCAGTCCCCTGTCTGTGAAAAATACTAGCGCCTAAACCATGCGTAGAATTTTTTCCAAATTGAAGAAATACCTGTCCATTTGGCCTGAGTCGAAACTCTGTGATTTTGAAAATCATTCATTAGTTTTAGAAGGAACATTACATGTAGCTTTTGGAACATTTTCAAAATTTTCTTAAAAATGACTCAAACTTTTTTCTTTAAATTTTTTTCTAAGAATGTAGTTAAATACACTTATTAAGGTAGCATAGGCCCAATTTTCACTGTTAACTCTAAATTTTCGAAAATTTCAAAAGTTTGAATTTTTTTGGAAGGACTTCCTACAACTACAAAATTAAAGATAGAGATTTTTCCTTGAAATTAAATTTGTTGTCCATAATTTGTTCTTTCATTAAGGTTACGTACGTTTTTTGAGAATTCGTTTTCACGCAATGTCTTTAAATTTTTGTTAGTGATAGTGCTAAATGTATTTTATGAGACGACATAAACGCAATAATACTGTATTCTTTTGCCTTTTCTAAAATCACAAAAATTTACTTTTTTTATTAGCTTCTCACATCCTTAATTTAGCGGCGATTTCTTCACACTATTTTGCATTTACGACTACTTGTTATTTATGTCTTAAAAAGTTTCTTGAAAACTCAAAACTTTTCTGTGAAAACGAGCCCGTTTCCGAATATTCAGAAACCTTCATATGCTATTTTCTTTAAAAAAAAACACTCCAGTTTTTTTCTTCAAACTTTTTATAAGGATAGTGCTCATTGCATGACCTAAATTTAATTTTGCTGTAATCTCTTTTTTTTTTGAAAAATTACACAAATGTATTTTTTTTCAAACCTCTCTCTCATTTTCATTTACAAACACATTTACAGTAGTTTGTATACATGTATACATGTAGTTTGCTCTTGTGAGTGGAAGTACTTCAAATGAAGTTTATCGAAAATTCAAACACTTTCGGTGAAAAAAAAATTGAAATTTCATCTTTACGGTAATGATTAAACGTAATTTTCTTATAAACGGCTCCAAATTTTTCAAACAAAATTGCCGTTTAGAATGATGTTTTACTCTTCTTTAGTATTCTTAAAGTAATATTTCAGTTCGTCTATCCGGAAACAGAAAAAGTGAGGAACTTTCAAAAAGATAGATGGTGGCCGGTAAGGACATGTCCATAGCCCAGACTAAAGAAAATAGAAAGTCTGTACCATTCTGTAGCACCACTAGTTAAATGTAACATGGACCTTGAAATTGTAGTGTAAATGCATTTTGGTTGGTTTGTCAGTTTTTGAAGGAAATTCGCGGATTTACAAACTTACTTTAGCGAATTTGTGTATTGTCTGAACATTTTGGCTGTGCTTATTCATCGCGGAGTCATAAAAGGTGTTGGTACTCGCGTTCAAAGGAGAATGAATTTGAAAAAAATCTATTGGGAACCGACATTCCGTAGAATCCGCAATTCCCTTGGCTGCATTACGTGTTCAAAGTACAAAATACGTGTATCCATCACAAATCATGGGCGCAGCAGATGAGAGGGGATGCGAGAGTATGTTCACGAACATACTCTATTACTATACAACACTATTTCATTGTGTTGCCCCCTCTCGTTAGTGTAAGCTATACAGTTTTTAGTTATGTAAGCGATTATTTTAACAGTAATGTCTATGTAATCATTTTGGATGTGTCAAATTGATGAAAAGGGAGAGTAATATGTGACAATGATTTACATTCATTTTACAAACGGTGACTAAGGTGTGCGGAGGCTATAGTACACCCTATTATTTTTGTCATTCGAACTGGAGGATGTTCGCATGAAAGCAATGCAAATTACCTACGTAGATAGAGAATGCAATAAAATTACATTTCAAAGCATCTATTTAAACAAAAACAAACGAACAAACATTAATTACAGTCTACGAGTTGCATGTACTGCAGTTTAGTTGAAAGTGCGTTCAAAGTTCTTAGCGCAGGCTCTTTGATATTCGTCGTGTATGGGCTGATCGTTTACCTTCGACGTGCATGACAGCACTTCGAATTTCTTTTAAAAAAATCATATTAATATTCTCATATGCTTTTCGGCACGATTTGTATCAATTCTTACTATATATTTAGTGACGATATCGTAAAAAACTAAATTCGTCGAAAAAACTGTCGTAAAACTCGAGCTGCTCTTACTCAACTGACTTCTGAGGCATGGCGTTTGGCTCATCTGAGTGGCCGAAGATTTTACTTACTCTACTAAAGGAGTAAGGTAGTAGGGGTCGTCCATAAATTACGTAACACTAAAGAGGGGGGCGGGGTCTGAGTCAGCTGTACGGTGCTTACATAGGGGTAGGGGTTATAAGTTAAGTGTTACGTAACATTGATATTTATTTTTTTAAACATATTTCGACATTTGCTGAAATACTTCTTTTTTTGAGTCCTCTACTAAAACATTAAAGTAGTAATTGTTTTGTTTGTTAAATTTGTTTAAAAAACAAAGTTATTAGTTGTAAATTGTTGCAGTAAAAAGAAAATATTTTTCACCATTTTTTTAAATCTATAAGATCAAGAAGAAAATTTCAAAGCTGTTATGAAGTGTATTCTGGAATCCATTTAAATTGACACTGTAAGAATCTCGCTCTTGCATCCACGACGGCGTGTGATCAACCATTCTTGTCCAAGCACTCTTCCTTCACTCATAACTTGTCCCAATCTTGTCGCCAGCATCGCCAAATGATTTCTTCTTTAATTATCATTAATTACTGTAACACTTATACAACACAAGTGAATATAAAATACAAATTGTTTTTACTATGCTGTAATTTATTTTCACTCTATACATTTATTTGTTGCAAGTGTTACGTAATTATTTAGGGCGGCGCGCGTTATGGGTGCGTTAAAAGGGAGAGAGGGAGTATTGAAAATACTCCAAATTTGCGTTACGTAATTTGTGGACAGCCCCTGAAGGAGGTGGTGGAGGAATACATTCCAAGAGCTATTGGAGCGGTCAAGCCGCTTTCTGGAGCCCGCGTCGGGGCGCACCTTGAAGAGCGCGATGCCCAGCCAGCGCCAGCTGAGCGGCGTGGGGAGTCCCACGACGGCGGCGCGCAGCACGTCGCACGCCTCCTGGTAGCGGCCGCTGTCCAGCCACAGCGCCCCCAGCCTGCGCCCGAC